AACGGGTACAGCGCATCGATCAAGTAACTGAAGCCAACCACTCGTGAGTGGGTAATCGATAGACAGACAGACGCACACGGTCGATGCTGGCGTGAACGCTGATTGGGGAGGTTAACTCATACGCCACATTCGACTCAGTCGATCGATCCATTCTTTTCGAGAAACTTGTGCGGAAAGGTGTTCCCATGAAATATGTGAACATTTTGCGTGCTCTATACTCGAACACTACAAGCCACGCCATGGTCTACGGTGATCTTTTTGATAACAAGTGCCGTTCGTCAGGGTTGTCCAATTTTCCCATTGTCCAACTTCTTCGTGGACTCCATCATGGAGTGTTTCCCTGCGGAGCCTCATGTTGCAGACGTTGAGGTCCAGCCTGGTGAAAGGTTATTTTATCTTGATTATGCGGACGATATCGTCTTGCTGTTTAGCGATGTCGGGGCGGCACAATCAACCCTGCACAGCCTCGCCAGAATGATCCCATCATTTCGCCCGCGTTACGCACCTTCAAAGTGCAATGTTGTTACAAGACCACCAGTCACTTGATGAACTCTTGATCCTTGATAACGAGGAACTCGAGGTAGTTGGTCAATTCACTTACCTTGGCAGCTGCATCTGCAACGATGGAGGCTTAGCAACTGAAGTCAGTTCGCATATTGCAAAAGCCGGAACTGCCTTCTTGAATTTGCGACATTTTTGGCGACAGAGAGGGGTTTCCTTCCTTCTGAAAGGCCGTGTTTACAAGGTCACAGTGAGGGCCCTTCTGCTATTGGAGTGAGACGGCCGCTTCGATCTGAGGCGCCTCCAAGTCTCTGACCATGGCTGTCTGCGAAGCATTGCTGGTTTCGAATGTCACCAACTTATCCTCAGCGATGATGTGCGTAGGCGAGTGCTAGGCACTGAATAAGTTGCATTGGTTTGGTTACCTACTAACTATGCCTGGTCACTGCTTACCTAGGAGGATGTTGTTTTGTTTGCCAGATGTAGGTTGAATCAAGGCTCGAAGTGGACAAAAGTTGTCTTGGCCGCGGGAGATGATGTCGCTGACGACCAGACTTGGTGCTGTCGGTCCGTCTCGCCTTCGAGGTCGGAGTCCACGTGTCTCGCATTGTGCTTGGCTCGAGACTTTACACCAAATTCATGATTGACCCGATACAAAAGGACAGCACAATGCAGGATGAGAGTAAAATGACCAAATTGTTAAAGGAAGTGAAGCGTTGCAACCATATCGATGGGACTTTGCTTAATCGGCCAACTCCCTGCGGCTCACAACCACCTCGTCTCTACGGACTTCCAAAAGTACACCAAACTAACATCCCACTATGACTTATAGGTGATATGTCTGCCAAGTTGGTTGGTTGAGCTCCTCGACCCACTAGGTAAAAAAGTGTCAAGCCACACAGTGTGACGCCTTCGACGTAATTAAGCAGATAGGAGCCCTAGACGTGAAAGACAAATTGTTGCTGTCCTTCGATGTGGAATCACTCTTTACAAACGTTCCGTTAGTATTAACTATCAACTTTATCTGCGATTACCTAACGGAAAACAACACATGAGCCCAAATTGACCGTATTGCCATCTGCTACAGATGGCGCACTTCAGTCCAAGACTGTTAATCAATTTGGAGCACGTGCCTAAGTTCCGACCACTCTAGTGCACGCACACCTGACGCCCACACTTCCCGCTTCAAAGAAGCGCCCATCTTCTAACCTTCTTACTTGCAACTTTAACTCACAGTCTGCAGATCAGCAATATCACAACGAACTGCTCCACCAAGTGTCAGTGATGAATACGGCCGGTGAGCCGAAGGCTGTCTGGGACTCTCTCAAATGTGCCATAAAGAAGGCTTTTCATTCCTACAGTGCACTCAACTTGAGACGTCATAACTGTGAATGGATCTCTGAGGTATCGCTCAGCTTGATCGAAGCACGGAAACTGGTTCAGATGCGCATTGAGCTTCAGCGTGTCCCTTTATCTCTGAAACAACGTCTGACAGGACGTCTTCGAGTTGACTGGGAACGTTGGTGAGTTGCAAAGGTCCGTGAAATGGAGGAAGCCAGTGTTATTGGAAACAGTCGAGTGATGTTCTAGTTCATCCGGAACACGGGTGCAAGAAAGCCATCAGTTAGCGAAACAGTAGCTGAAAAAGACGAGCAACTGATCCATTCTCAGCGTCGTCAACTAGCCCGCTGGACGGAACATTTTGAAGAGCAGTTCAGCAGACTTGCTGCGATACTGCCGTTTGCTGAATCACCTGAGCCGACGTGGGAAGTAGATGTCACACCTCCCAATTTGGAAGAGATTCGACATGAGCTTTCCATGTTGAGACGAAACAGGGCTCTTGGACCCGACGACCTTCCTCCATCTTTGTTGAAAGATGGAGGTGACCGTTTGCTGGCTGGGCTTGATTCTCACATTAAAACGATTTGGGACACTGAAGAAATGCATTCAGATTGGCGGCTGTCAACTGTCATAACCATCTTCAAGAACGGTCAGCGTGCTTTGTGCGAAAATCATCGGGTCATTAGCCTTTTTTCCGTTGCCTCTAAATTTATCACGGGTATCATTCTCTAACGACTTACTGTTTTCCGTGAAAACCCAATCACTGAAAGTCACGCTGGCTTCCGCCCACATCCAGAAGACGGACTATAGTGGTTTTCCTTGACTTGAAAGCCGCCTTCGACTCTGGTGACCACGCCAGCTTGTGGCACTGCTTATCCATGAGAAGTGTACCGACTAAACTGTTCAATTTTGTGGTATTTCTACCGTGCTTTAGGAGGCAGTGTAAGGGTCTACTGAAAGTCGTTTCCTGAGTTCCCCATGACAAGTGGGGTTCGCCAGGCTTGTCCTATATCTCCTTTTCTCTTCAACTTTGTGATTAAAATGAGATTCTACCGGAGTGAAAGTTCTGCCAGTCGACCGACTGACAAAACGTAAGTATGCGGACGACATAGCTCTTGTGTCTGAAGCAGTGGCTATGTAAACACTACTGGGTAGATTGACGCGTAACGCCGCACGCTTCGGCATGTGCTTTGTACCTTCGAAATCTAAAGTACTGTTTCAGGACTGGATCGACCACCTCCATTTCTAACTATCACCGAACAGCCACTGGAAGTTGCGGATCGGTTCACTTACCTAGGAGGCTGTGTCATTTCTGGTGGTCACATCACTGAGAAAGTTAATTCGCGTACCAGCAAGGCCCGAGGGGCTTTCCAAAGGCTCAATTATCAATGGAAACGTCAGGATGTCAGCCTGTCAGTGAAAGGTAGAGTGTATAACGCTGCGGTAAAGCCGGTTTTACTATATGAACCAGAGACCTGGCCAGATCGCGGGGAGTACATTAAACGCTTGTCGGTGTTTGACCACCGGTGCTTGCAGAGTATTGCTCACGTCTGGTGGAAACACCCGATGATCAATGCTGAGGTCCGCAATTAAGCTTTTGACAATAAGCCTTCTGGTGTCTGACTCGAGTGTTTGTTGGATGTTAATCGGTTGCGTTGCCACGCTTTATCCCCCCTATACCCTTTGACTGGCCTCCTAGGCGTTCATTATACGCCATGGTTGCACCAGTTTGGTCGAAACCGCGAGGTGACCAGTCGATGATTTGGCATAGAGACATGAAGAAGTTGACTGAGGGACTTCATCGGGCTGGTGCCCTCTTCGTGAATGGGGGCCTAGGGATGGTCTACACCAATGTTTGGCGACCGTATCAGACATGGCGCAGTCACACAGTCAACGGCGTTCCTGCATTCGGTTTATTGCATCTGGTTGTTACTTTTCGTTCCATCCTAATTTGTTTAACCCACCTCCTTGATTCCATTTTCTTTACATTCTGTTTGCATTCAACCCCACTACCTTGCCGTTGTTATTCATTGTTGTTCACGCAATTTGAGTTGTAGCAACTGGATACACCGCACTTCGGTGCTCAGATCTTAGTTGTTCAACTGAACTGAAGGTTTACACGTTTTTCAGAGTGGAGGAAAGGTTACCCTCTTCTGTTTTTCTATCAATTACTATTCCATAACAGACTTTGAATTTCCTCTTGCCTTCTTCACATGCTTCATCATCGTCCCATGAGGTATTTGCTTATGGTTTTGTTTTCAATTCAAGTCAGTATAAGCTTTGTGTACCCAAATGGGTACATTTTACATTATCAACTGTAAATTTACCAACGCGTTGCCATTAAAAATGATAAGTTTACAAATGGGTAGAAAAATGATAGATGTACACTATCGTAACTCGAGTTATGATCAATCGATCAAACAACCATGCCATAATGCTAAACTAAATCCTCGGTATTTGCATCCAATCAAAAACGGAAAAGATCTCCTTTGAAACCTTTGTTTATACTTCGTTCCATTTGACGTGAAATTTGGTGTCCAAATACGGTAGCTCTTGGATCGTGCGCGATATCTCGGCGTTTATTTTCAATAGATGGAGAGCATGTAGGTAGGTCGCAGTGACCTTGGGTGTAAACTGAACGAAATATCGGTCAGCTTATTCTTGCAAAACTGATACCTCTACAGTAGATAATGTAAAATATGGTGTTCGACAAAAAAGGCAACAGCCGATTTAAAGGCCCCGTCACATCGTACCGGTGCACGTTTCTTCGCCTCTACATTACCAGGTTTCAGAAATATTTCTTACCACTTGTTTACCTTCAGCTGTGGTCACGCAGTTTTATGCTTTTTGGTTCAAAGGTAGTTCCCATAGAACTGTGAAATGACGATGTGGGTACTTATTGTCTCGTCTAAATTTTGCCTGTTTCCTCTCCGATGTACTGCTTTGGCTGGGGTTTTCATGAGTCATTATTCTCTTGTGAGTTTCCTACGGTTGGTAATCCCGTACATTGAATTTGCCTCCAGGTACCTTACTTCATATTCCTTTAGCTTGCTTTTTAATCTCATGGTACTGAAATCTATCATTAGTGCACGTGAAATTCCTTTTCTTATATCGTCCCTCTGAAGCGGAACATTTCCGGATTTTTAACCTGTTCTTAGTACATTGGTCAGTGGACCAGTTATAGACATGCGTTGAGCTATCTCGTGAGGGATCCGCGACACCGAAACAAGGCACGCGACATCGCCAACGCTCAAGGCCTCTTGGCTATCCGGCGTAAAAACTGTGGTACGAAAATGACACGTGAAGAACTGAAGGAGAGGGAAGATGATATTTTGCGAACCATCATCAGCCAAACAGTTGAACTCCGGTAAGCTATGCACTGTTCAACCTTTGTTTCTTCCATTTCTCCCTGCCGAGCTGTATCTCGATCATATCAATCTATTTTCGACTTTATCGTTAGTTGTTTTCGTAACACATTGTGCGATCTTACTTGCGCCATGTCATCGTGCCAATGTCAGCAATCTTTAACAATCTTCAACGATTGACCGTTACCTTCAATACTTGGTCGAAGACTTTGGCTGGTGGTGGAAAGAATTACGCGCCTGACTTGTACTCCGGTGGTCACCGAGGTTCGAATCCCTGCGTAGGTGAGGGCAACCTCACGGTATACCTAGCCCCACACATGACCGGTGGTGATGCTGGCGTGGCGGCGAAGCGTTGGCACGGTGTGCCAGCTTGCTATTGATGTCCTTCCTCTTTCTTTGTGCGTCTAATCCATGTACGTTCACTACCGCTTCTTCCGTCAAAATGGTTAATGAGTGCCAGTTTTTATAGACATCACCAGTCCGCTTCGTTAAAACCAGCTGCAGTTAGGCATTTGGCATTTCCGTTTGAACCATGTCTTATGATTCTCTTCCGGCTCTGTCGATTTTCAAACTGCGTTTCTTATTGATCGGCTGCTTCCTTCAAGAAGATACTGTGCATATCGGATTTTCGCAGCGTCCGAGATCAAGGAATCCAGATCTTGAGTAAAGGTTTTCTGCCAATACAAAGACTAGAACCGTGTGCCAGGCGGTCTTCTATATTTATACACCTCAACGGTTCTGGTGCCCATTGATCTGTACCGATTATTTTGTATCATATTGACTGGCAGCGGATAATCTAAAATATATCCGTTAAAAAGACTGTTTTCCATCGACATAATTTATCTACGTATTTCTGACGACTTGTTCTTCCTAACATCGTTCGTGTTAAGTTTTGCTTTTATTGAAAATCAGACATCTTGCTTTGTCAACACCAGTCTCTTGTACAGGTTTCCGCCCGACGATCTCCCTTAAAATGAAATATCCACATATATATGGGCATACAACTTTAATAAAACCGTTAACCGGATAGCATTTGCCCTCCAAAATGAAACTAATCTTATTTGTGCGCATTGAAATTATGATGCACGCAGTCACGGAGAACGAAGCAGTGGAGGGTGATGAAGAGAATGCCACTATGTGGCGATGTCGTAACGGTAGCGCAATCGAAGTGGGTTGGCAGTGGCTGAAAAGCGCGCGTTACGTGCACCAACACAGTGAGACTGAACCTCACCGTGTTGCGATGGTTTGCGTGCCTCATTGATTCATTGAGCTGTGCTGGGTGCTACAAGAAGCATCAGAGCAGCTTCAGTACCACTTATACCAGATTGGCCAATAGTTAGACGCCAGACTAACTTAGTCTCCCTGTCCTCCAGGTTGCCATTGGGAGTGAGAGTGGCTCCTTACTTCATGAAACAGACTCCCGATAGCACAGGGTCGAAACTCCGCTGTCTTGCGGTCCGGTTTTTGAATCAAAGACTTTGGTTGAGAACTTTAATCTTTCTCCTGGCTAGACCTGCGCAACAGAGATTATACACTGAATATACCAAAGGCTAGAACAAGCATGCGCTCAAATTTCTTTTTAGTCAGATATAGTTATCTGTGAAGTAAACTGCCAATCACACTCAAATCATGTGACAGCGTGGCGAGATTCCGTAACAAGCTCTAAAGTTACCTGAATGCCATAATGACTATATTCACGTTAGAAAAATCCTTCTATGAGCTGTTCCAAGAAAGGCCCAAAAATATCTAAACCATGGTTTCCACCTTATCCAACTGTCAAAATGCTGTTACATGAATCGGATGCCCCATCATTCCACATATGCATACCGCCCATGCAAGAGCATGCTTACTTTGGTACAAAATCATTTGAGTCGATTCAGACACCGTTTTTCGGATCAGGAGAAATGTACCTATTATTATAATATTACATTCCTGCTGGGAGCGAATGTAACGAGAAACGCAAAGATCGCTGAGTAGAATTTCCTGTTAGTCTGAAGAAAGACCGAGAAGTCTGGTGGTCTCACACTGCATCGAAGATGAAAATAGCTGCTGCCCTTAGTAACCATCAGACGTTATTCCGTCTTATACGTGAAACGGACAGAAAGAGACTTGGTGTTAGCGACATTATATGCGAAAAGAGTTGACAGCCAATCCACAGCTTGTCAAAATGCTTAAAGCGTTGGGCTAAGCACTTTGAAAAGCAATTTAATCGACCGAAACTATCAGATTCGCTGCCGGCCTATGATCGCCCTATACCCCCAGACTGTCTCTTTGGATCCGTCTTCACGCCCAGAAGTCTAACGTGAGATCAGAAATAAGGCCGCACTACTAGAAGAGCTTTCTCCAGCTCTCTTCAAATTCGAAGGGCCACCTGATGTGGGTGACTTACTCGATCTGCCAGTGGTAGCAGGAATCTGTCTTAACCTACCTGGACTGCTCCATTACTGTCCCGATCCTCAAAAGGCTCTAGCGTTCGGAATGCTGTAATGATAGAAGAATCATCTTGATCCTCCACCTCTGTAACTTGCTTCCGTTGTTCTTCATAGATTAGCTGACACCCTTGAAACCCAGATTTGCGAGGAACAAGGTGCGTTTCGTGGAAGTCGGGAATGTATTGGCCCCATAATCACTTTACGGCAGTTTTTGGAACACTGCCATATTTATTGGCAACCCGCTGTATCCGTGTTCCTCGAAAATGAGGATGCCTTCGATTCAAGGGATTGATGTGCCGTTTGAGACTGTTTGCTCAGGAAAGGTGTGCTCTACAATTATGTAAATGTTATCAGAGCGCTATGCTTACGTAGTCCGGGAGATTGTGGGTTTATAGCAAACTGTCACCGCGGCTTTAGACATGGTTGCTCGCTGTCACTCTTTCGTTTTAACGTTGCCATCGACGAAGTTATAGAAACTGTTGATTTTCGGGTTTTGTAGCACCTACCATATCTCGAATTGTGACATGAAATCTCAATTGTGACCTCGGTTGACTTTGAAGTCAGCCTCTGCCAATATGATCACTGGGACCGTCACCGAAGTGGAGGGTTTCGGTGTGGATCTCTCCCATCCCTGCACTCCACGATCGACTGTTTCCTCCTGGTTTGGACTCATCAGGTAGAAACTGTGTTCACTTAGCACTACCTACAAGTGTGGAGCTGCTCCCAAGTAATCAACTTTTTGACTTGGAGTATGTCGATGATAATCTATGACGGCTCTCAAACGTGCCAAGCAGCACTGGCTGTCATCAGTTTCTGGCTCTAATTTGTACCCTCCAAATGCAACGGTTTCCTCCAAGATTAGCTAGATTTCGTTCAGAAATTTAACTACCTGGGCAGCTCTATCATTGCCTGTGGGATCGAAGATTAGACCACAAACTATAGCAAACTATAGATGCTTTTGCCAGTCTTCACCATCTGTGGCTGCGGCGCGATATCAATCCCGTCATGAAGGGCAGAGTTTACAACGCAGCCGTGCGTTGTGCGGTTGCGAAACCTGGCCCATCAGATAGACAGAGCTGAAGAGATTAATTACGTTTCGCCATGCTACCTTTGCAGTTTAGCTCATGTGTTGGGATCACCACGTGCGCAATGAGCGTGTTCGGCGTCGCGTATTTGGCGAGTGAACCGCTCAGCGCCATTATGTCACGCGCCAGGTTCCGATGGCTGGGCCATGGCAACATACTGACTCACGTGACTTGTGTTGTTTGTGCGCCAGTTGTTGCCTGCCGTCAGCTTGGGGTCCCAAGGTCAATGAGCATGTTTGTTCCGATGAACTTGTTGTTGACATGGCGAAGAACCGGCCAAATTGGCTTCGGTGTTGCGAATTTCTCTCTCCACCCCCATCGCCCCTAGCCCCCCCTCCAACCACCAACTCATCGTCAGTGATACTACAAAACGTGCAAATGCTTATTTTCGATTTTCCGTACCTTTATCTTTTTATTTGTATTTTTTAAAGTACCATTTAATTGACTTGTGTTACCGCGCGATAGCTGACGTGTTTCTCGCTTCTAGCTGATGTGTAGAAGGATGACGGCGAGTAAATGTTTGGATGCTTTTGTTTGCAACTGACAGCAGTTGATGTTTTTACTTGGGCTAGTTAGAGTTAGTAAAAAATTTTTCAATGAAAATTGGACGAAGTTACTTGTAAATGTGGGTACTATATCTAGACTACTCACACCTCATAGATTGCACGATGTTGAGGATTTAACGAATTTTCCGTGCTCTCACGAACTCTCTGCGTCCAGAACAAGGGGGATATACCAGAAATATGTTCTTCACCGCTTATCCGTTGTACACACGTTACCTTTCAAAAAAATCTCACCAGTGCCTCATATCAGCACTATCCTTCCATAGTTGATGGCAAATATTTTTTCCCAGTCTTAATCGTGTGCGTTCAGTTATCCTTTTTGTCACACACTTTAATGGAGTTGGATGCGCCCTGATTATTGGGGACGTAATGAATCTGAGAATTCCTTAAGTCTGGTTTTATATCTGGTGTATGGTGATTCGGAAGGAAGTTCATTTCGATGTGCGACCATTGAACCTTGTCCACTGTCGAGTGGGCAGTTGCACTGCGATACATTTAGGCAGTATTGTAGCGTTCGGCCAAGCCTCGGCGTCTGAATGCCTCCCGTGTCTATTGCGCGTTGAATTCCGCTGGCTTCATGGTGCATCTCTTTTACGCTTCGATTATGATGGACTTTAGCGGCGTTGCCAAGCCACTGATGCCCGTGTTCAGTCATTCGGTCTTGACAACAGCGAAAATTTGAATTAACCTATCCAACACCAAAGTTATATGCGGAGAAGACACGATTGTATGATCCTACCAGCGGGTTGACTTACGTTGGGACAAGCGAATGTGTTGGCACACGTGAATATTTTTCTCGAGGAGGTTATAATCCGAGCACGGAAGTGCCACAGATCCGGTTACGTTCTCCTCCGTTGATATGGTGAGAAACTCGACGATAGTGGAAAGGAAGGGAAAAGTCGCCTTGAAAGCGGTAGTCCGAAAATTGTTTTTGGGGTTAAGGACAATTAGCATCATGCCAGGTACATCTGCTAGCCGTAGATGCAACCGATTCCTGATCCCAGCGCGTGCAAATATCACACATCCGTTAAACCTCGTATTTCAGCGCATTTCTTCATACTTCTCTAGCAGGTCATCGATTGGTCACTGTGTAGCTTCACCGCACGTGGCGCATTATCAGTAAGCACCATACCATAAAATAAACGGTCGGCGGAAACTGGAATAACTTAGTATAACCAACCTTGATCCATCGGGTTCCGTAGTCAGTCCGATGTGGTAATAGTTGGTCGTTTGAGTGAAGCTGTCCAACAAGCTGCAGGCGGACGGGATCCGAATCAATCTCTGCCGGCGCAGGCTGATCATGCGTGGACGAAACAGAGAGAGAGAGAGAGAGAGAGAGGAGAAGAATCTGCATCAGCTCAGCCTATAAGGAACAAAGCACCGCTTCGTCACGAACAACTGCGAAGCGCATTGCCTGGTACAGCCGCGAACGGACGAATGGTGCACACTGGCCAATCAGATGCAGGAAAGCTGACGCACCTAAGCATGATTTGAAGCGGGCAACACAGAAGTCGATTGAAGCAAACAGAATGTACGGACCAATGAACACAGACGGGTCGCGGAAAATAACCATTGTGAAGACGTCGCAATCAAACAACGCATTCCATCTACATGAAGTATGGACGGTGCTTGGATTTGTGAATAACGGGTTCCGATCCTTGCCCAGAATATGCCTTGACTCTTGGAAGGGCTACACGACGCTGTGCAGTAGCGGTCGATTGGCCATTGGACACGAACCAACGATTACCCTTGTTCCCTTCAGATGTGAACAACGCTTCACATGCTCCGGTCATCAGAGAAGGTAACCTTGCGCACTTGCCCTTTACCCATAATCCAGTATCTCCGTCTTCATTGAAGATCGTAACTTTGTAATTTACACGGGCTTCCCTTGGTGTGATGAGTCTCGCTAATGCGCCTTGTAACCCTAGGGATTTAAGTAGAAAACGGGAGATAAGCAATAAGGTAAGTGGCTGTCATCCGCCTCAAGTAGTTGTTTGATGGGAGCGATTGTCATTGACATTTCCGCTGGTCCTTTTTATAGCGCGTTGCATTTCTACATTGCGAATCACATGTGGAGACTTGCAACATTTTGAGTTGACCTTTGTTGTGGATCGAATCGGCCTCTAACCTATATCGCTTTAGGTAAATGTTCCGGTGTGCTCATTTATGGTTATTTGCTTCGATACGATGATCATCGATCATGAAACAGTTTCACATTATTTGGTACATGCATGTGTTACGTATACTGTCATCCACGTTTCCAGTTACGAACAAAGTGCTCACATTTCCGGTGATTTATATCAGCTTTCCGATGCGCTCATTTTTGGCGGCTTCCGAGTTGTAGTAATAGGGTCAACGCCTTTCTTTGGTAGTTCAGAAATCGTCGCACACATTCACTGAGACTGGTTTTAACCGAGCGCTTTGCGTCTTCCAACAAAAGCGAGATGTTCGTAACTACCGCATCCACTAGTGCTTGCGATGCATCGGTGTTCCCACTTGATAGCGCCCGTGCAACACCGAGGTCTCTCAGTTGGTATTTGACATCAGGCAAACTGGTGCGTCACTAGACCATATGAGAACTAGAACGGACTACACCAGCTTGTTAAGATTTTTCGTGCTCGTTGCTCAAGGCTTCGTGGTTTACTGCTGTTGCATCTAGTTGAATTAAACCATGCGGGGGCCAGTCAATAACATCGTATAAGGGCATGAAGAAAATGATTGAAACGTCAGTTAGACTGGTGCGTACGGTCTTCCTAAGTTGGAATCGTTCACATGCGTGCTTTGACGTCTTATGGAACATGAATCAGCCACGGAGTTTGTGGTGCTCCCGCACACTGTTTCGCTCCTTGCTGCTGGACTTTTCGCCCGGTTTTGCATCTGTTTTATCTTTTCATTCTCCTCCTCGTCGAATATCCACTTGTTGGTTTGCATTTTCCTCTGCTTGTTGTCATTCTTTTTGCTTTCACGGTGGTTACCACCGTGTGGCACTCAGACTACAATCCATCTACTGTACTGGACTGAAATGCGCAGCCATCTTTTGGCATCATTGTGGGTTCGAACTGCGTAACTAATGGCATTGGAAACCGAATCGCAGTTGGCATAATTACGTCACCGCAACATTAGTCTAGTTGGGAGACACGGTGTATAGTCATTTGGAATAAGCGCACAGTGACACATACGATCTCGTGTTAGCCACCGTGACGTGATGTTGACGTCGAGGCGCTCTAGATGTGATTGCGCTCTGGATTGGCAGAATCACTGTATCATGCTGTTGACGTGGGTTACAAAGTCGTGAACGCCTGCATGCTTGTTCAGTGAAGAGTAATAGATTTATGACAGCTAAGGGGTACGCAGGGGGCGTGGTGAGCTACACTACTGTTTCTTGTGGGCTCCCGGCACTACATGATTGTTCATTCTGAGGGAAGAGTCTGTTCTGGAGCACCGTCTAGTTTTAGACACGGCTGTCTACACGCTATGCATTTGGGAGTGAATCCGTGTTGGGTATGGATCCCGGCTAGAACCTGCTTCATGTATTTCATACTCAGCTCGGAGAGCAAGTGTCGCCATGTCAAGGGTAAACCGTTCCGTAATTCATACCGCCACAGTTATGTACAGTCCTCATCTGCGAACTTCTCATATTATGACAGTGGAACAACTATCTCCATTAGACTTAATTTCAGCTGTTTCCTCATTTGCGAAAAATGTTTTCGTGTTTCACTAGCTCTTTTGTTGACCGAAGTTCTTCACGTTCAGACATCGAGATTGCCTACAAAAGCCCTTTTTCACTTCGTTTATGGATCATTTAGCTGATGCGTCGTCCGTATGTCATGGACATGCAAAATGTCTTGCGCCAGATGACCCTACATGCGCCAATTGCTTTTAAGGGATTGTCTGCACGAATCTATTTAGCTTACTTCGTTCGGTATTCCTCACAACATAGATATTGCTAGGTCGTTCAGGGTACTTGCTTTCGAAGACGACGGTGCCGTGTTTCATCACTCTAGCCAGTTGGACTCCCAATGTGAGAGATTTCAGCAGCACACTTAGACCTTGATCCAGACTGGAGAGAAGCTAGGTGCGAATTTCGGCATGTTGTTGGGAGAACAAAGTACCAATGCATCGATAATCTTTTAGAAGTGAAACTTGAACGGTACGCACTCATGGTTGCTCGCTGTCAGTGTTTATTCTACTTGAATATCCCCCAGATATTGATAAGGAATACTTGGTAGTGATACTGGGCCACTATGAATTCCGAAAAACTGTACTACCATGTCATTAAATACGTGGTCTCTCGAGAGCATGATCATCAAATATTGTGTACTCATGTGTAACGAGTTTGCATAACAACACTTTATAAAAGCCATCTTGCTAGTTGAAATCTACCAGGAATCAATCTCGTCATTGAATTCAGAGGAATATTAGTCGCATTTTTATGCACATTTCGCGAATTTCTCTCATCACTACACACTAGGTCACTTCATCAACTTTTCACTCAGCTCTAACTCAGCCTCCATTCTTGTTCGCTATTGCAGTAGCGGATTTTAGAGTTGTTAAGCGCGAGGTTTTAATTCTTCAAATCACATTTTACCTCTCCATAATTTTACACGATTCCGGTTGAGTGTATCCTCGTAAGCGACAGACTCTGAGCTCTGCCAAAATCAGAATTCGACTCTGACTACAAAATGTGCTCATGAAATCAGCTGCCGAAGTGTGACAGAACTCTGCCGAGACGCCGACGGTTTTTACGATCAAGATAGTAGATTTCGTTTCCAAAAAGACTTGGTCAGTTGCCGCAATTGGTATTTCACGCTCGGTCCACGAACATAGAAGCGAAAATTCATCTTGTATACTAGAGCCTTTTAGACTTAGATGGAAACTTCCGCTAAATTTTATTGTCTACAGACGTATAATGGGTCTTCGTATGTTGATGTCTGCGTATGTTGCTTGGATGTAGACACTGGCAGTTGGGCTTCACATAGATGGATGAAAGGGTTTTACGGACTGGCTATTAGTACGAGGGCCCCATCATTTCGGCCCTATGCGTTTCACGGCCCAGTTCCCCACGGATAGCTCACCGAACAACCTCCCCGTGGTGCCAGCTGGGTGGTTCGGGTTATTCCTGTTCCAGCGGATGGTTCGGTGGCAGTGTTCCAGAGCGTGGTGGGTTAACGCTTGGCAAGCGTTCTCCCTGTAAAAAGCCACAAATGTCCGCTTAACAACACTGCGACGTGGCGGATGTGATTCGCCACTAAACAAAGTCACTGCCATTCGCTTATCCGGATCACATTCCTCACTCCATAGACATCAGTACTTCAATCCGAAGAGTTCCTTCGAATCCGTATCATGCCGACGACCTTACTGAACACAACAAACACAGCGCCAAATTAACACATTCAAGCAACACAGAAACGTAAATTCACACCTATATATATTCAGATAAATATACGCACATAGATTCAGTACATTACTGGTAATTTTACAGCATTTTTGTACAACTTTCTATCATTGCTGTTTGTGTTGCTATGCTCATTCCTATACAGGCGTGCCTTGCACTGTCGAGAATAAAAATTTTATTTTATTTATTTGGAGTGATGACGACGTTTTGCTGATTTCTATGCTGGTTGCTAGAGTGATACACTATTGCTGGATGGAAACATGACAATCTTGATTGTTGCTCACGGCGATCTAGTGTAGCTGTCGCTGTCGCTTCAATTAGTTTGTCACACTTTAAAATCCACTGGATAGTTCACTAGTCAATTCACTTTCATCCCAATGACTAGAGTTGGTATCCCTGCGTCTTACTTGCTGCTTTGAATGTGTCTTTTGCCCCGTGTACCTCAGCGGAGACTTTTCGAGACCAAGTTTACGTCGAGTGTTGGCAGTGCAGCTGGTGGTGCTACCGTACACTTGTTTTCAGTGGTCGCTTTGGGCATTCACGTGGATGTGGTCATACTGGATTATGAGGAGACCATATGATGACCGAGCGAAGGCGTTTCTCACCCGTCGTCGTCTCGGCCTGAGTGCAGCACAGTGGGATGCTTTGGATGAAGTCCGCCGGGAAGGGTTCATGCGGAAGGAACTGTGGGTCCGCGCAAATTACCAGGTGCGTCATAGTAGCTTTGGTCATTCTTTCCTGTATGCAGCTCGTGATCAAACGCAACTTCCAGTTTCAGACATCAACATAATGATCAAACTAATTTCACTGGATCGTGTCTCACGTTTCCGAAAAAATAACATACACATATCATTATTCTTATTATGACTCTACTACATGTGTCAGACTCCGATGTCATTGGCCTAGCATTTTGCGCTGGAAAATACCCGTGCGATCTTGGACCCTGCACATGACGTTTCATGACGAGAAGCCTGCTCTCAAGGATTCATTATCAAACTACTAATCAGCTATGTTCATTATGTTTACTTGCGAGATAACTTAGAACAAACGATATGATATAGTGACGAATTTCTCACACAATACCAACTTAGACTAGCACTTATAAGCTATTTGACAGAGAACACCACGAAACTGTAACTTTTACGTGATGCGACGGTCCGCATATCTCTTTTTCAGCCATTTTAACTATACTGAGGAGGGGGCGTTCTCAAGCCTTTCGAGAGCTACCCCAGTCAGATTGGCCGATGGTTAGAGGTCAGACCAACTCAGTCTCCTTTCCCTCCAGATTGGGAGTTCAAATGGTATGGAGTCCATTCATACAAGACCGGATTGTTACCGTCTCCCCGCGGATTTGTGGTTACACTGTAAGCCAACGGCTTTGCTTGAGGACCCTAATCGTTCTCCTGCCTAATTAGGCGCCCTGGTAGTATCTCAATCCATCTACAACCATGAATAAATAAATTCAGCATCAACTTTGATCCACATTCTACACGGGCTATCGCGCGGCCTCTAAAGAGTCATTTTATCCGCTGCATACAGAAGGGACAATAAACGAAAGCATGCTAGTACTGATGCTTCCCTTCTTTTCCGTCTGTTTCATTTACTACTTTCTCTACGTACGTTTCTAACGTTTCCCATACAATCCCCAACTTGATTGATGACAATGGCAGTGCCATTTAAGTTCTGCCATCTGCAGCTAACCTCCAGCGGCATCCTTTAGACTCAGCACAGACAGCTCCTTAAAAGACCACACTGTACACACACACTATATATATATATATATATATATATATATATATATATATATATATATATATATATATATATATATATATATATATATATAGCTAATCAGCAGACCAAGAAATGGGTATGGAACCATCAAGAAAACCACGGAAATCAAAGGGAAGTACAATTTGACAAAAATAGAACGAAACCTTATCAGTTAGTTCTTCATACGGCGAGTTTTCTTTTTTTATCATTTTCAATGTTTGAAGTCTCAAACATATGAATCAATACAATTCTGTACACAACTCAGTTGGACTGTGCCTCGCAACTTCGCGGAATTAACCGCTAATTTATTTACAGCTCCACTGAATACGGTTGCGGGCCATGTCTTCAAGCTTGTTAAACCATTGACACTCCTTATCCATGGGTCCCCACCCTGGTTGACCTACAGGTCTAACTTCGGCTAGACGCGACGTCAGCGATTTCTTGTGCTGTGGCCAAGTGGAATGCTGACCACCGCGCGGTCGCCTTCAACCCGGTGCTTGACGAACCATTAGATCGCGGCGCGGTGGACGCTCAGGCTCCATGCGTAGGACCTGACTAAGCCATTTCGAATGGCGCAACAAAACGAGCTTCTTGAAGGGAATACTCGCATTCCCCAAGACGTGACGTCAAACCTCATCACTGTGAACTCGATGTTGCCATACACGAGCGACCCTTCTCAAACAACCGTTGTGGAAACAGAAAGACGACACTTGTCTTCCACGCGAATTGACCAGGACTCGCTTCCATGCAACAATACTGAACAAACAGAGGCGCTGTAAACATGACTCTTTACCGAGAATGTGACCTCGCGACGAGACAAGTGCCTCATATTGACAACTGGTGATCGGGCTCTACCGATGCGTATACTTCCTTGCTGATAGTACCGCCAGCAGAAACACAGCTTTCAAGATAGACGAAACTATCTACCTGTTCAGAAGTGAGTACGGGAGCACGTGCAGGCCAATCATAGAGCAACACTACACTTCCATGGGGCAAAGATCATGCTTCAACTGCCAAACGATCCAAAATGAGTTACATACCCTGTGGATCGTCACCAAGTAAGGCGATAGCATCAGCATGATCTAAGTCGGTCGCGCACTCAACCAGTAGAAGCTATGGCCAAATTTTAGAAACCTTTTATACCTTTCCTAGTCAATCGCATCTATAACGCTTCCAAATTCCTTCTGAAGGAAATCTAATTCATCCATCCATTTTCAGAACAGTCCGCCACGTAATCAAATATCATTCTACGGGTGCGAACGCCCCAAAGCGCACGCCACTCGTTGAGTGACCAATCAAAAATCAACCAAAAGCATATCAGACGTATTTATGACATGGGTTACCAGAGAACGGTAGGACCCATCTGCGACATGGTAGGGTGTGGCACAGATAGCGTGCGATTTGGTGGGTGCCCAGTCGCATTCGTATTCAGGCATCATTGGCTACACGCATGCTACGGGGCATACTCGTAAAACCCACGTGGCACCACCTGCGCTTAGCGGTCACGAGTGATCATGGTGGTTGGTAGTTGATGCTGTGGCACGTAACCTTGCAGGCATTCGCTTTTCTACGTGAAACTTGATTGCCCGGTGTGTCCGCGCACCTCATCGCTGAGCTGTCCTTATACTGCTACACACCCACATGACTGAGTCCGAAAGAATTGGCTATTCGGAATAATGATATGAAGTCGCTCACACATGCCGTTGTCGTGATTCGGCTGGCATGAAATTTGGGCTTGTGTGGCGCCAGAGGGGGCGGTGAGAGCATGTGGACCGCGGCGCGTTTTGGGGTGCGGCATGCTCACTGAGCGCAATGTTGAAAGGTCTGCGCTTGACGAACGTGGCGATTCGAATCAGGTTGAGTGCACGCGTGCTGCACAATGGCATTGTTAGAATTAGAGTCAACCTAACCCTAGTAGAATTCAGTTTGTGGAAAAACAAAGCTAGCCGGCGTCGCCGAAATGTTTTCGAACTTGTTATTTTGCCACAACAAGCGAACAAGCGACTTTCCGAATCGAGTGTACAACTGACTACAAGTGGGTATACACAGAGTTGGCATGTTTTCACCAAAGCCCACAAAGCTTGTATTTGTTCTGTTTAACAGAACATTTTTCTTGTCACCTGGCTCACACAACATGCAACACTTGTGAAAAACCTACCTGCTATGAGATCACACACAGTAGATTTTGTACTATTGGCATTTGCTTTGTCCGATTTTGTGTGTTAATTCGCCGATACACACTACTAACCAGTATCGCATTTCTTGACAATACCACGGGATACCGGCTAAAAGTCGATGGGAGCCCCTCAGTATTTGTTCCTTCTTGCACAACTATAACAGACATCCTTACCATGGCTGGGTGACGTGCTTGATAGGGCGCCCGAGGTTGCACTCGTCTGTTGCCTTTATTACGCCTTTCTTCGACTGAGCTTACTCCTGAGGAATATTTCGTATAGTTGCTTCTTGGTTCCCATTGCGGTTGCTGAGTGCGTCATCCAACCATTCTTGTTGCGAAACAGACCCAATGTGATAGGTTGTTCCGGGGGCGACACGCACGAACAGGAAAGAGATTTCCGTAACACTCCTGGGGGTTATACTTTTCTGCCAGTTTCAAGGAATGATCTCAGCTAGATGTTATTGCGAAATTGCAGTACAGAGCGGCGCACATGATTTGGGTCGCTCAGAACAATGTAATCATTGGCAGATTGTCAGCTAACCAGCGATACCCGTGTTTCCGCTTCTTTTCATGTGGCATGTTACGCGTTTCAATGACGCACTTGGAAACCCAACGTTGAATCTGCTCCAGATCAGTGACGTCGTGCTTCAATTTTGGTTGCCTTGCTTGACTTGATTGTTCTACTTGATAGTTCCCAACTTGTAATGCCATTTCCGTTTGCTCATTACAATCCAAAACCAGTGCACCTAAGTCACGTTTGATGGTAGAGAACTGTAGGGCATGCGTTGCGAACCGATAGGAGTGGAAGCTCTGGTATCGTATGCAGACAATCTTACACGCAGGCATTCACCCTACCCACTAGAGCTGAGTCCTCCAGATGCACAGCTGTCGAACAGGTTGTGAACATTTCGACAAATAACCCTGTCATCACCAATAAATCGTAGTATATCGCATATCACACAAAAACAGAAACTGTTTTCGTAGCCGGAGGCAAGTCTCAGATTGATACAACACAGTACAACAACGACGTAGTGGAGAAACAAATCCCATTGAGACGCGACTGGACCTTAGCTTGATGCGATGGTTTGCGTACCTTCGCGGCTTATTGAGCTAGCTGGAAGGCACCTTCCAAGTGCTATCAGGGTTACCCACACCAAACGTGTCAATGGTTAGGGGTCAGACTAACACAGTCTCACAATGATCTTCGGGGTTGGTAGAGGTCTAGGACCCTCTTCCCTTAAAACAGCCATGGGTGCCAACAGGTTACGGGATTTTTCACGGCTCAATTGGCGTAGAGCACGAGTGCCATGCATTGCCTCTGACCGTGGGAGCACATCATCATCATCATTATACACCTTAGCTACAGATGGAAAACACCAGTCCTTATGCAACAATACAAAGGACTAATAAAAACAAACAGTGGCACGCCGGCTGCGTCTCCAGTAACGGATGGACATCGTTCCGGAGAGCTAACAGCTGGCTATCGTGTCGCAAAAAGAGAGATATATTATGCCTAGCGAATGTAATCGTGATTGGAGGGGGAGGCTAAGCAGGAGAGGGATGGACAAAGGAACTCACAACACAATTCATTCATTCATTATACACGTCAGCTAGATGTGGGAAACACCTCAGCTACTGTGCTACAATACATCTAGGAAAAGGAAAATAAATACAACTGTTGCATGCCAGCTGAGCTACCAACAACGGATAGGCATCGTTCCGGTAAGTTACCAGCCAGCTACTAGGCAAAAAGAAAAAT